TGCCACATAGGCAATGCCCAGTACACCAAGAGGTCGTATGTCCTTCACGGGTTTGGCCACATCCTCGAAGCCCACGACGAGCTCCTTCCAATGCCCCATCGTGTGCTGCAAGCCGGGGTCATGTTCCAGCAGACCAGGAAAGGTGCCCCCATCCCGACAGAGGGCATCGCTGTCGTCATCGAGGCGCTGATCAGCATGAGCCACGTCATAGACGCGATCGCCGCCCATCTGAGCTTCGACGCGTGGTTCCGCGAGCAGGGCTGGGCCCAGCTGCGCGCCGAGCACTGCCGCCAGGATTACCGAGGCAACGTCTCTCTGCTACTTCGGGACAGGCGCCGGGGTGCGCGAGTGAAGACAGGATCGGATCAAGGACTGTCTTGGAGCTGAGCTCCACCAGAGCACTCGTGAAGGGCCTCTTGGTGGGCCTCCAGCCGGACGATCTCGTTTCTCCGCTGTCGACGGCCTCCTCCCGTTAAGTCGGGCCTGTCCCCCTACAGGGGAATTTTCGACGAAAAATAAAAAATACCCCAACAAAAAATCAAAAAATAATCCAAAAATAGTCTGGGGACTGTTTTTGGGGTATTTTTTATTTTTCGTCGAAAATCCCCCTGTAGGGGGACAGGCCCGACATAATCCTACCGTCGCGAGTGGTGGGAGGCATTCTTCGTCCGTCCGGCCCCCCTCGCGGGCTCCTCGACACGCTGGCGCCCCTCCCCCTTACGCTTGAGAAGGGCCGCAGCGTAGAAGCGGCCCGAAGGACGGGCCGCAGGCAGTCTGCCAGCTCACGGCGGCGGCGAGGCGACCACGCACCCGCAAGCAGCGATGCGGGGCAGCCGCTGCGCGAACTGGCCGGCATGCAGGAGGAGGAGCAGGACGGACGGACGGCCGCGAAAGAAAAGCAGGAGGCGAGGGGGCACTCCCGCACGGAAACACTCCGGGCGGAGGTGCGCCGGCGCGGCCACTGCGGAGGTACGCGAAAGGGCATGTTCCGATGGAGCAGAGTTCGCGCCCCCCGCGTGAAGAGAGGCCTCCTAGATGGGGTCCGAGCAGATGGGGTCGGAGGATGTCGCTGCATCGGCGATGCATCGGCGATGCATCGGCCATGCACTGGCGACGTCGGCGATGCATTGGCGACGTCGGCGTGGGGAAAAGTGGGCCCCACATCGAGCCGCATCGCTGATCCATCGCCGATGCATCGCTGATGCATCGGCGATGCGGCGCGATCCTCCGACCCCACCTGCTCCGACCCCATCTCGGAGGCCCAGAGTGGAGAGTTTTGCTTCGTGGCTCGAGGCCTTGGCGGCCTCCGCGAGCGCTTGGGGTGGCTGCGCTGCGGTCCTCGCCCTGCTCTTGGCCGCCCTCGGGCTCTGGCCATGATTCGCGAGGCCAGAAGAGGGGGTAGGAGGGAGGAGGAGGAGGAGGAGGAGGAGGAGGAGGAGGAGGAGGAGGGAAGGAGAGGAGGGAAGAGGAGGAAGAGGAGGAGGAGGAGGAGGAGGAGGAGGAGGAGAGGGAGGAGGAGGAGGAGGGGAGGAGGAGGAGGGAGGAGGAGGGAGGGAGGAGGAGGAGGAGGAGGAGGAGGAGGAGGAGGAGGAGGAGGAGCCCCTCGGAGCTGCGGCACCGAGCTCGGCAGCCCGGTGCCGAGGAACCTTTTTGCGGGCGGAGCCTCCCCTCACGGAGCGAGATGGGGGCCGCGATCGTCGCCAAGTTGGCCCCAGGACCAGCGCTCACGCTGCTCGTGTTTCGTATATCCTTGCAATATTATTTTTTGTTTTTTCGGCAAGCAAGGAGAGGAGAAGGAGGAATCCGCTGCCCCTCAAGGGAGCTATCCTCAACATCCACCGCGACAGAGGCCGACCGCAGGGCACTGAACGCAAAAACATGCAATAGCCCCGGACTCGGGGAACTCGCGAAAGCCGAACTGCGTATCGGGCCAAAGTTGCCAACTTAGATCCTTGCAATATTATGGTTTCTCCCATGAGCGCCAAAAGTCTGTCCAGTCGGCGTTCCGCCGATGTGGACTTACTGGTGATTCTCGAGATTGGCTCGATCGAAGTTCGTCTGCCAGTGCTGCGCTTGAGTTCAGACCAGGTACCGACATCACGTTGTTTGCACAGATGCTCGAGAAGACATCGAGGCGAGCTGCCTGCCCTGCTGGTGCTTTTAACAGGTGAGCAAACTCGGCATCGACGTCTGTCTGACCCCTCCCCGCTGCACTCCCCTACCTTCGCAGTGAACTAGATGTCTGCTGGCAGGCCCCCGAACTTCTGAGAAAACTTCGACGGCAGGCGTTGGAAAGACGGCGCGCGGCATCGACCTCCGACGAGCACGCTGTCCGCGGGAGGCGATCCCCCCGCGAGGGCCCCTTCTGTGCACGCCCTCCCCCCTGGGAGGAGGAGGAGGAGGAGGAGGAGGAGGAGGAGGAGGAGGAGGAGGAGGAGGAGGAGGAGGAGGAGGAGGAGGGGGAGGGGGGAGGGGAGGAGGGGGAGGAGGGAGGAGGAGGAGGAGGAGGAGGAGGAGGAGGAGAAGGTAGAGGAGGAGGAGGAGGAGGAGGAGGAGGAGGAGGAGGGAGGAAGGAGGAGGGAGGAGGGAGGAGGGAGGAAGGAGGAGGGAGGAGGGAGGAGGGAGGAGGGAGGAGGGAGGCCTCCCCGGTGCACGCCACCCCCGAGATGGGGGACAGCAGCACCTCACCAGCGGCGCCACGCCGCACGCTTTCTCTCTCCAACGCTAGCCGTCGGACGGTTGCCGTCGGCGGCCCCCGCAGGGGTAATCTTCCGCTTCTTTTTTTTCTTATTATTATTCTTCTTATTGATATCATTATGACTATCTTATTTCGTCTTATTATTGATGTTATGCTTCTTCTTAGTATCCTTCCTCTTCTTATGTTTCTCCTTCTCCTTCTTCTTCTTCTTCTCCTTCTTCTTCTCCTTCTTCTTCTTTCTTGGGGGGTGGGGGCGTGGAGGAGGGGGAGAGGACACGGCATCACGACGACGAGCTCGGCGACGCCATCGCGAAGCCGGCAGGCTGCCTCGAGCGCCGTGCAGACGGAGCGTCCAGCGACGCAGACGAGCTCTCATTGCGAGCGATGGCGCAGAGATCCGCTCCAGATCCGTTCCTTGCGCGGTTTCCCCCGGGGCCGCAGGCGACCCGAGGAGAAGGAGGAGGAGGAGGAGGAGGAGGAGGAGGAGGAGGAGAGGAGGAGGAGGAGAAGGAGGAGGAGGAGGAGGAGGGGAGGGGAAGGAGGAGATGGAGGACGAGAAAGAGGAGGAGGAGGAGGAGGAGGAGGAGGAGGAGGAGGAGGAGGGGGAGGGAGGGAGGGGAAGGGAGGAGGAGGAGGAGGAGGAGGAGGAGGAGGAGGACGGGTCGCGTAAGCCCTTCGGAGAAACCCTCCACCGTTCTTCACTGCGCTGGAGCTCGCAAGTGGCCCCCGAGGCCCAATATCCCTGAGGTCCGACGCTGCCAAAAGATTGCAACATCTCAGAAGATCGCGACCAGAGCCCCGACCCCCCCTTTCTGCGTCAGTCGTCGAGCCGGATCGATATGTGAGGGTCCCGGGGCGAAAACAATGAGCGAGAACGCTGGTTGCGGAAAAGAGGCCACGGCAGGATCCCCAGACCCCTGGCGTCGTGATTTTTTCGTGACGTGACCCCCCGGAGCCCAGACCCCTTCCCCGGGACTGGCTTCTCATCCTGAGCCGTTATTTAACGGCCCCGAGGCCCCGAGCAAAAAAAAAAACGGTCACGACTTCTTCGCGACGCGAGGGGGTCCTGGTCTCAGGGTACAGTCGAGGTTGGACGACGCCGACGCCGACGCCGACGACGACGACGACGACGCCGACGCCGACGCCGACGCCGACGACGCGGACGCCGACGCCGACGCCGCCGCCGACGACGACGACGCCGCCGAGGACGACCCCCGAGGCGTGGGCCCCCGCCCTCGCGCCAGCCTCGGCGCCCGCGCCCGCGACGACGACAGGTGCGAGCTCTCCGCGCCCGCGACGACGAGGGCCGCCTCCCGGGGCGCGGAGGGGCGCGCGGGCCCGCGGCGTGGAGGGGCGCGGGGCCGCCAGAGCGCACCGCCTGCAAGCCGCCCGTCCTCCTCGTCGTCGTCGTCGCCGTCGTCGTCGTCGTCGGCGGCGTCGGCGTCGGCGTCGTCGTCGGCAACATCAGCGGCGTCGTCGTCGTCGTCGGCGGCGTCGTCGTCGGCGTCGCCGTCGTCGGTGCCGTCGTCGTCGTCGCCGTCGTCGGTGTCGTCGTCGGCGCCGTCGTCGTCGTCGCCGTTGTCGGTGTCGTCGTCGGCGTCGTCGTCGGCGTTGTCGGCGTCGGCGTCGGCGTCGGCGTCGGCGTCGGCGTCGTCGGCGTCGGCGTCGGCGTCGGCGTCGTCGGCGTCGTCGGCGTCGGCGTCGGCGTCGTCGTCGGCGTCGGCGTCGTCGGCGTCGGCGTCGGCGTCGGCGTCGTCGGCGTCGTCGGCGTCGTCGGCGTCGTCGTCGGCGTCGTCAGCGTCGTCGTCGGCGTCGTTGTCGCAGCGGCGTGGCACGCGGCCGCGGTCGAGGCGACCGGGGGCCACTGCGGGGAAGCCGCGGGCAGGGGAGAACGTGCGGAGCGCGAAGGTCTTGCGCGCGAGTGCCAGGAAGCCTCGGGCGGCGGAGCACGCTCGGAGCACGAAGCTTTTTGCGCGTGCGTGCCAGAGCATGAAGTTTGTGCGCGAGGATGGGCACTGGCCAGCAAGGGAAGGGCAGACGAGGGAACAAGGAGGATCCGAAGTGAACAGAGAAAACACGCAACAGTGGAGAGCACGAAGTCAGCTGCCCTTTCAAAGAGGGCGACCCCGACATCGGACAGCAAGGCCCCCCAAGCCGAACTGATAACAGATGCCTACATGTCCACCCAAGGGCCCCCTGCCGCACTCCTCGCTTTTTTCTTCGGACGCCTGCCGAGAGCCCCGAGCGGGGATGCGCCAACCCCCCTTGTCTTCTGACCTCGCCGCCCGCCGCTGGCCCAGGGTCAGTTCTTCACACCGAGCTTCTTCCAGCCCGCCCAGTCGAGCGCCTTGGCGAGCCAGCCGGTGTTCGCGCAGACGTCCTCAGAGAAGCCTTCGCCGTAGACTTCCGAGATCTGCTCTTCCCAGCGCCTGATCTTGAAGCGCTGGGGATGCGGCCCAGACCATTTGTCTTTCGTGGCTGCGTGCTGCGCCTGCCGCCACCTCCACCACTGCATGCCGCGGCAGCGGAGACCCCTAGTGGCAGGCTCGTCCGGTGGCAGCCTAGCAACATGACCCGACCAGCTGTGGATTGTCTGGCGGCACTGCTGCGCGGGATCGACGCGATACCTGTCGATCGCCCTGTGCCCCATATTGTGGAAGAACCGCCACCACTGGTCGATCGACTGCCACGGCGCCCTGCGGGGTCTCAGCACCTTGGCCGCTCGCCTTGCGCTCCAGCTTGCGATATGATTCCAATGGCTCTGCGTCGGCGTCCAGGTGCTCGAGATCCAAAAAAAAGAAGCATTGCCATTACCGTCTTCGGGAGCAGCCCCATGCGGCGCTCTTTCGGAATCCAGCCACAAGTTAAAATCGACCTACACTTTTGGAAATCCTTGCGGCTGTCCTCCCAGTCCACCGTCTCGCCCATCACGTGCAGCTGCTGGCTGGCTCTGGGCGGGGTGCTGGTCCAGTGCGTCTTCTCCGGCCCTACGCCAAGACCAATCTCCTTGAGCTCGGCCACCACATCCGCGATCATCTCCTCCATGTGCTCCATGGACGTCGCCGCGAGCACAGTGTCGTCCGCGTAGCAGACGCAGGACAGGAAGAAACCGTCCATGCCGAAACCCTTGCCCTGAGCCCTCCAATGGGGCTCCAGCTTCCGGATCACCATCTCCATGGTGATCGAGGTCAGCGGAGACTCCGGCGCGCCTTACGGGAGGCCTCTGTCCATCCCGATCTCGTCCGAAGCGACGTGCCCGAGATTGACCTGCACGGAACTTTGGTGCCAGATCGCCGCAATCAGCGCGATCTCGGGGAGCCCTATCCTTTGGAGCTTCATGGCCTTGAAAGCGGCACGGTGGTCGACATGGTCGAAGGCCTTCTTCAGGTCGAGTTGTGCCGTGATCAGCGGCTGCCGCCATTCTCTGGCCAGCTCTGCCGCTCTGTTCCACATGAAGACTCCGGTATCCGCGTAACTGCCAGGTACGTAACGCTGTCTGCACCGATACGAGTGTCAGCACTGGCGGCGGCAGCATCCAAATGTAGCCGAGCAGCTTGCGCATCGCACTCCTCGATATCGCTCTCCCTCTCTCTCTCTCTCTTCCTCTCTCTCCCCCTCTCTCTGATAGCCCGCTCTCCCCCACCTTTTCCGCATTGCACCAGGCACGGTGACGAAAGCCAGCTGCAAGCGGCACCTCGTCACGTGGACTGTCGCCCCCTTCCTCCTTCCCAGAGATCGCCAGCCCTCGGCAGTCTGAGCCGAGGGATGGCTGCTCACGGACGGATCGGGAGAGGTTGCAGGAGGGGGGGAGCGGAGCGAGGAGGGAGGGTCGGGATAAGATAAGCCCGACGCCGATGCGGCGATCTTAATTACCCCTCCCACCCATCCCTTCCCATTGCGCTATTTTTCTCGGCCCGCCGACGGGCGCACGGAGGAGGGGGGGAGATAGAATGAGGGAGCGAGGGGGAGGCAGGAAGGAGCGGGAGGAGGAAAGGAGGATGCTGAGGAGGAGGAGGAGGAGGGAACTCGCAACGCGGGGGGGGAGAGCGGGCCAGAGGCAACAGCAAAGCAGGAGCAAGAGAAAGCCCGAGGTCCAAGCCTAAACAAGCGTGGACGGCCACACGAGGCCTTTCTCGATGTCGAGGGAGGAGGAGAAGGAGGAGGAGGAGGAGGAGGAGGAGGAGGAGGGCAAGGACGCGGATTAGGACGGGGAAGTGCGAGGAGAGAGAGAGAGGGAACAAGGGATGACGAGGACGGCGAGAACAGGGGAGGAGAAGGGAGAGGCAGGGGTGAGGGAGAGGAAGGCCGCCGAAGACGGCCCGACCTGGCCCAGAGACCAGCCCCGAGAGGCCCGAGCATGGCCCCGGGCTGGCTCCAAGGTGGTCCCAGGGCCTTCGAAGGAGCACCGTCGCCGTCGCAGGCCAGGAGTTGTCGTCGTCGTCGTCGTCGTCGTCGTCGTCGTCGTCGTCGTCGGCGGCGGCGGCGGCGGCGGCGGCGGCGTCGTGGGCGTCGGCGTCGGCGTCGGCGTCAGCGTCGGCGTCGGCGTCGGCGTCGGCGTCGTCGTCGTCGGCGTCGGCGTGGCAAAACCTTGAACCATAAGGAGTTGGTCCATGGTTCTCCCCCGAGCGTCCGTTCCGCTGCGAACCGGCCCCCGCACGCCTCGGCGCGAGGGGCCCGGGCGAGCCTGCGAGAGCGTCCAGGGACACCCTAAGAGGCCTGCAGGAGGGCGCCAGCGAGCCCCCAGAGAGATCCCTGATAAAGAGAGAACCCCTTGAGATCCTGGCGTTGCCATTTTTTCACAGCCATCGTTTGCGCTCACTTTCAGGCCCCAAAACCTCACATATCGATTTGGCTCGAGAACTAACGCAGAAAGATGGGGTCCGGGGCTCTAGTCGCGATGTTTTGCTGTGTTTTCTTGCATCGTCGGATCTCAGGGACCCACCAGTGCACCCCACGAAGACGGCTGAGAACACGCAGCTCCCCAACAAGACACTCGAGGACCACCCACTGCACATGCCAAAGAAGCCCCTAATGGGCTCCCAGGGGCCCTCGACCCACCCCCAAGAGGCAACGCAACAATCATGCAAACCCACAACCATGCCGCTATACGAAATCGCAACGCTGCTTCTGGCTTCTGCACAAAGCTTCCAGTGGACAGCAAGCGATACGGCGAAGGCGTGACCAACACGAGTGCAAGCAGAGGGAGAGAAGAGCCAGTTTGAGAGGGATGCGCGGAGAAGTGCGGGAACCAGGGTGGTGAGAACGGGGACAACGAGAGAAGGGAGAAGTAAAGGCGAGATATGACCGCGGATGCCACTCGCCGAGGGGGGGGCATCACCTGCCGAGGGAAGTATCACTGTTGGCGTCAAGCAGCTTGCGGGGGGTAAGGAAGTTCTTCTGAACAAGATAGACAGGCGAGACTGATGCCTGACCGCTGGCCGCTGGAGAAACCTTCGTAAATGACAACAATAGAGGAAGAACAAACTGCGTAAACATAAACTTCCTAAAATCCGCGCAGATTTCTTGAATCGGCGGTGTAACCCCCCTCTTGCGCGCGGAACGCGCCAGGGACGGCGCCGGAGGCGACGCCAGGGGGGTCCAGCGCCGATGATTGAAATCGGCGCGGAGCTCCGAAAGCTTGCGCATGCAATTTATTATTCGAGTATTGTGAATGGCCGCTCGCGAAAGAGCCGTGCCCCACGTCAGCCACCTTCGCGAGAGAAGGAGCACGCCAGGCCGCGTCACCTGCGAGCCCAGGCCCGCTCTAACGCCCACGCCGCTCGCAGCGGATACGAGAAGGAGAGGGCACATGGAAACTACCTTTAGGTCGGGCATGTCCTCCTACGGGCTTGTTACGGACGGAAAATTAATTACCCTGGACGACGTACCCAACTACTGCGCTCTGCTGGGCACGAGTAGCTTGCGACACGTTATACAGAGGTGATGACGTGACATGGGCGCATATAATTCTGCGAGCGGCATTCGTGAGGCTCGCAGCCCCCCAGGGACGGCGAGGTCCCGCTCAGATCTGCGCGGTGCCTCGCTCCGCTGGACCCACCTCGAAAGTGGCGGCAGTTTCGCAGATCGCAGCCGCCCCAGGGACGGCGAGGTCTCGCTCAGATCCGCGCGGTGCTTGACCCCGCTGGACCCAACAGCAGCCCTCGAAAGTGGCGACAGTCTCGCAGATCGCAGCCCCTCAGGGACGGCGAGGTCTCGCTCAGATCCGCGCGGTGCCTCACTCCGCTGGACCCACCGGCAGCCCTCGAAAGTGGCGGCAGTTTCGCAGATCGCAGCCCCCCAGGGACGGCGAGGTCTCGCTCAGATCTGCGCGGTGCCTCGCTCCGCTGGGCCCACCAGCAGCCCTCGACAGTGGCTACAGTTTCGCAGATCGCAGCCCCCCCCCAGGGACGGCGAGGTCCCGCTCAGATCCGCGCGGTGCCTCACTCCGCTGGACCCACCAGCAGCCCTCGAAAGTGGCGACGGTTTCGCAGATCGCAGCCCCCCAGGGACGGCGAGGTCCCGCTCAGATCCGCGCGGTGCCTCACTCCGCTGGACCCACCAGCAGGTTTCGCAGATCGCAGCCCCCCCCAGTGACAGCGAGGTCGGAGACAGACACTGCAAGCAAGATGCATACACAAGAGGTGCGCACGAGGCGAGAGGAGACAGAAGGGAGGCGGGAGGCAGGATGCGGGAGGCGGGAGGCGGGAGGAGAAGTACGCGCGAGCAGTGCTCTATTCAAAACGAATACCCAACAACGGAGGGTTGGGAACAATAGTCAATTACCCTGGCGACGTACCCAACCACTGCGCAATGCGGGGCACGAATAGCCTGGGTCACGTTATACAAAGGTTCTGACGTGTCATGGGCACATATAATTCTGCGAGCGGCATTCGTGAGGCTCGCAGCCCCCCAGGGATAACGAGTTTCCGATCAGATCTGCGCTGTGCCTCACTCCGCTGAGGCCCACCAGCAGCCTTCGAAAATGGCCACAGGTCCGCAGATCGCAGCCCCCCAGGGACGGCGAGGTCTACCTCAGATCTGCGCGGTGCCTCACCCCGCTGGACCCACCAGCGGCCGTCGAAAGTGGCGACGGTTTCGCAGATCGCAGCCCCCCCAGGGACGGCGAGGTCTACCTCAGATCTGCGCGGTGCCTCGCTCCGCTGGACCCACCAGCAGCCCTCGACAGTGGCGACAATTTCGCAGACCGCAGCCGCCCCAGGGACGGCGAGGTCTCGCTCAGATCCGCGCGGTGCCTGACCCCGCTGGACCCACCAGCAGCCCTCGAAAGTGGCGACAATCTCGCAGATCGCAGCCCCCCAGGGACGGCGAGGTCTCGCTCAGATCCGCGCGGTGCCTCACTCCGCTGGACCACCAGCAGCCCTCGAAAGTGGCGGCAGTTTCGCAAATCGCAGCCCCCCAGGGACGGCGAGGCCCGCTCAGATCTGCGCGGTGCCTCGCTCCGCTGGGCCCACCAGCAGCCCTCGACAGTGGCGACAGTTTCGCAGATCGCAGCCCCCCCAGGGACGGCGAGGTCCCCAGATCCGCGCGGTGCCTCACTCCGCTGGACCCACCAGCAGCCCTCGAAAGTGGCGACGGTTTCGCAGATCGCAGCCCCCCAGGGACGGCGAGGTCCCGCTCAGATCCGCGCGGTGCCTCACTCCGCTGGACCCACCAGCAGGTTTCGCAGATCGCAGCCCCCCCCAGTGACAGCGAGGCCGGAGACAGACACCGCAAGCATCTACCTCAGATCTGCGCGGTGCCTCACTCCGCTGGACCCACCAGCAGCCCTCGAAGCGGCGACAGTTTCGAAGATCGCAGCCCCCCCAGGGACGGCGAGGTCTACCTCAGATCTGCGCGGTGCCTCGCTCCGCTGGACCCGCCAGCAGCCCTCGACAGTGGCGACGGTTTCGCAGATCGCAGCCCCCCCCCCAGTGACAGCGAGGTCTACCTCAGATCTGCGCGGTGCCTCACTCGCTGGACCCACCAGCAGCCCTCGAAAGTGGCGGCAGTTTCGCAGATCGCAGCCCCCCAGGGACGGCGAGGTCCCGCTCAGATCTGCGCGGTGCCTCGCTCCGCTGGACCCGCCAGCAGCCCTCGACAGTGGCTACAGTTTCGCAGATCGCAGCCCCCCCAAGAGACGGCGAGGTCCCGCTCAGATCCACGCGGTGCCTCACTCCGCTGGACCCACCAGCAGCCCTCGAAAGTGGCGACGGTTTCGCAGTAGCAGCCCCCCAGGGACGGCGAGGTCTACCTCAGATCTGCGCGGTGCCTCACTCCGCTGGACCCACCAGCAGGTTTCGCAGATCGCAGCCCCCCCCCAGTGACAGCGAGGTCGGAGACAGACACTGCAAGCAAGATGCATACACAGGAGGTGCGCACGAGGCGAGAGGAGACAGAAGGGAGGCGGGAGGCAGGAGGCGGGAGGCGGGAGGCGGGAGGAGAAGTACGCGCGAGCAGTGCTCTATTCAAAACGAATACCCAACAACGGAGGGTTGGGAACAATAGTCAATTACCCTGGCGACGTACCCAACCACTGCGCAATGCGGGGCACGAATAGCCTGGGTCACGTTATACAAAGGTTCTGACGTGTCATGGGCACATATAATTCTGCGAGCGGCATTCGTGAGGCTCGCAGCCCCCCAGGGATAACGAGTTTCCGATCAGATCTGCGCTGTGCCTCACTCCGCTGAGGCCCACCAGCAGCCTTCGAAAATGGCCACAGGTCCGCAGATCGCAGCCCCCCAGGGACGGCGAGGTCTACCTCAGATCTGCGCGGTGCCTCACCCCGCTGGACCCACCAGCGGCCGTCGAAAGTGGCGACGGTTTCGCAGATCGCAGCCCCCCCAGGGACGGCGAGGTCTACCTCAGATCTGCGCGGTGCCTCGCTCCGCTGGACCCACCAGCAGCCCTCGACAGTGGCGACAATTTCGCAGATCGCAGCCGCCCCAGGGACGGCGAGGTCTCGCTCAGATCCGCGCGGTGCCTGACCCCGCTGGACCCACCAGCAGCCCTCGAAAGTGGCGACAATCTCGCAGATCGCAGCCCCCCAGGGACGGCGAGGTCTCGCTCAGATCCGCGCGGTGCCTCACTCCGCTGGACCCACCAGCAGCCGTCGAAAGTGGCGGCAGTTTCGCAAATCGCAGCCCCCCAGGGACGGCGAGGTCCCGCTCAGATCTGCGCGGTGCCTCGCTCCGCTGGGCCCACCAGCAGCCCTCGACAGTGGCTACAGTTTCGCAGATCGCAGCCACCCCCAGGGACGGCGAGGTCCCGCTCAGATCCGCGCGGTGCCTCACTCCGCTGGACCCACCAGCAGCCCTCGAAAGTGGCGACGGTTTCGCAGATCGCAGCCCCCCAGGGACGGCGAGGTCCCGCTCAGATCCGCGCGGTGCCTCACTCCGCTGGACCCACCAGCAGGTTTCGCAGATCGCAGCCCCCCCCAGTGACAGCGAGGTCGGAGACAGACACCGCAAGCATCTACCTCAGATCTGCGCGGTGCCTCACTCCGCTGGACCCACCAGCAGCCCTCGAAGCGGCGACAGTTTCGAAGATCGCAGCCCCCCAGGGACGGCGAGGTCTACCTCAGATCTGCGCGGTGCCTCGCTCCGCTGGACCACCAGCAGCCCTCGACAGTGGCGACGGTTTCGCAGATCGCAGCCCCCCCCCCCAGTGACAGCGAGGTCTACCTCAGATCTGCGCGGTGCCTCACTCCGCTGGACCACCCAGCAGCCCCCGAAAGTGGCGACAGGTTCGCAGATCGCAGCTGCGCGGTGTCTCACTCCGCTGGACCCACCAGCATCCCTCGAAAGTGGCGACAGTTTCGCAGATCGCAGCCCCCCAGGGACGGCGAGGTGTACCTCAATCCGCTGGACCCACCAGCAGCCCTCGAAAGTGGCGACGGTTTCGCAGATCGCAGCCCCCAAGGGACGGCGAGGTCTACCTCAGATCCGCGCGGTGCCTCACTCCGGTGGACCCACCAGGAGCCCTCGAAAGTGGCGACGGTTTCGCAGTAGCAGCCCCCAAGGGACAGCGAGGTCTACCTCAGATCTGCGCGGTGCCTCACTCCGCTGGACCCACCAGCAGCCCTCGAAAGTGGCGACGGTTTCGCAGATCGCAGCCCCCAAAGGGACGGCGAGGTCTACCTCAGATCCGCGCAGTGCCTCACTCCGCTGGACCCACCAGCAGCCCTCAAAAGTGGCGCCAGTTGCGCAGATCGCAGCCCCCCAGGGACGGCGAGGTCTACCTCAGATCTGCGCGGTGCCTCACTCCGCTGGACCCACCAACAGCCCTCGAAAGTGGCGACGGTTTCGCAGATCGCAGCCCCCCAAGGACGGCGAAGTCTACCTCCGATCTGCGCGGTGTCTCACTCCGCTGGACCCACCAGCATCCCTCGCAGATCGCAGCCCCCCATGGACGGCGAGGTCTACCTCAGATCTGCGCGGTGCCTCACTCCGGTGGACCCACCAGCAGCCCTCGAAAGTGGCGACGGTTTCGCAGATCGCAGCCCCCCAGGGACGGCGAGGTCCCGCTCAGATCCGCGCGGTGCCTCGCTCCGCTGGACCCACCAGCAGCCCTCGAAAGTGGCGACAGTTTCGAAGATCGCAGCCCCCCAGGGACGGCGAGGTCTACCTCAGATCTGCGCGGTGCCTCACTCCGGTGGACCCACCAGCAGCCCTCGAAAAAGGCGACGGTTTCGCAGATCGCAGCCCCCCAGGGACGGCGAGGTCCCGCTCAGATCTGCGCGGTGCCTCGCTCCGCTGGGCCCACCAGCAGCTCTCGATAGTGGCGACGGTTTTGCAGATCGCAGCCCCCCAGGGACGGCGAGGTCTACCTCAGATCTGCGCGGTGCCTCACCCCGCTGGACCCACCAGCAGCCGTCGAAAGTGGCGACAAAATCGCAGATCGCGGCCCCCCAGGGACGACGACGTCCCGCTCAGATCTGCGCGGTGCCTCACTCCGCTGGAACCACCAGCAGCCCTCGAAAGTGACGACGGTTTCGCAGATCGCAGCCCCCCAGGGACGGCAGGATCTACCTCAGACCTGCGCGGTGCCTCGCTCCGCTGGGCCCACCAGCAGCCCTCGATAGTGGCGACAATTTCGCAGATCGCAGCCCCCCCGGGGACGGCGAGGTCCCGCTCAGATCTGCGCGGTGCCTCGCTCCGCTGGGCCAACCAGCGGCCGTCGAAAGTGGCGACGGTTTCGCAGATCGCAGCCCCCCCAGGGACGGCGGTGTCTACCTCAGATCTGCACGGTGCCTCACTCCGCTGGACCCACCAGCAGCCCTCGAAAGTGGCGACCGTTTCGAAGATCGCAGCCCGCCAGGGACGGCGAGGTCTGCCTCAGATCTGCGCGGTGCCTCGCTCCGCTGGACCCACCAGCAGCCCTCGACAGTGGCGACGGTTTCGCAGATCGCAGTCCCCTCAGTGACAGCGAGGTCTACCTCAGATCCGCGCGGTGCCTCACTCCACTGGACCCACCAGCAGCCCTCGAAAGTGGCGACGGTTTCGCAGATCGCAGCCCCCCAGGGACGGCGAAGTCCCGCTCAGATCTGCGCGGTGCCTGACTCCGCTGGACCCACCAGCAGCCCTCGAAAGTGGCGACGGTTTCGCAGATCGCAGCCCCCCAGGGACGACGAGGTCTATCTCAGATCTGCGCGGTGCCTCGCTCCGCTGGACCCACCAGCAGCCCTCGAAAGTGGCGACAGTTGCGCAGATCGCAGCCCCCCAGGGACGGCGAGGTCTACCTCAGACCTGCGCGGTGCCTCACTCCGCTGGACCCACCAGCAGCCCTCGAAAGTGGCGACGGTTTCGCAGATCGCAGCCCCCAGGGACGGTGAGGTCTACCTCAGATCTGCGCGGTCCTTCAGATCGCAGCCCCCCAGGGACGGGGAGGTCCCGCTCAGATCTGCGCGGTGCCTCACTCCGCTGGACCCACCAGCAGCCCTCGAAAGTGACGACAGGTTCGCTGATCACAGCCCCCCAGGGACGGCGACTTCCCGCTCAGATCTGCGCGGTGCCTCACTCCACTGGACCCACCAGCAGCCCTCGAAAGTGGCGACGGTTTCGCAGATCGCAGCCCCCCCAGGGACGGCGAGGTCCCGCTCAGATCTGCGCGGTGCCTCACTCCGCTGGACCCACCAGCAGCCCTCGAAAGTGGCGACGGTTTCGCAGATCGCAGCCCCCCCGGGGACGGCGAGGTCCCGCTCAGATCTGCGCGGTGCCTCACTCCACTGGACCCACCAGCAGCCCTCAAAAGTGGCGACGGTTTCGCAGATCGCAGCCCCCCAGGGACGGCGAGGTCTACCTCAGATCTGCGCAGTGCCTCGCTCCGCTGGGCCCACCAGCAGCCCTCGAAAGTGGCGACGGTTTCGCAGATCGCAGCCCCCCCGGGGACGGCGACGTCCCGCTCAGATCTGCGCGGTGCCTCACTCCGCTGGACCCAGCAGCAGCCCTCGAAAGTGGCGACAGTTTCGCAGATCGCAGTCCCCCAGGGACGGCGAGGTCTACCTCAGATCTGCGCGGTGCCTCACCCCGCTGGACCCACCGGCAGCCCTCGAAAGTGGCGACGGTTTCGCAGATCGCGGCCCCCCAGGGACGGCAACGTCCCACCACTCAGATCTGCGCGGTGCCTCACTCCGCTGGACCCACCAGCAGCCCTCGAAAGTGGCGACAGTTTCGCAGATCGCAGCCCCCCCAAGTGGCGGCGAGGTCTCGCGGGAGACAGGAGGCGAAGACAGGAGGCGAGAGGAGAGGAGGAGGAGGGAGACGCGACCGCGGTGCTCTATTCAAAACGAATGCCCAACCAAGGAGGGTTGGGGGGGAAATATAAATAATCAAAACATCGACCTCAGACTATTGTTAGCTTTCTTTGAATACTCCTCCTGTAGAGGGACACGCCCGACCTAGAACTGACTGAACCGAACGACTGGGGAAATCGAAGATGGTACTTTTCTAGGCGTGTGCAGAATCGAATACTTGTGAGCAGGGCCTCACCACGCGAGGCCGTCCCTGATGCGCTCCTTCGAGGGGCACATGTTGAGGCACTTGTTGGTGACGCTCTCTGGGTACTTGGCCTCGGGGAACTTGCCTGCCTCGACGCGATCGATCAGAGACTTCACCGCGGCGGCGCCCTCGGCTTTGCCCGGGAAGCGCGAGTAGTCCTCGTCGAAGTGGCCGTCCGACATCCTCTTGGTCCTTGCTCCGCTGACCGTTGCGCGGGCGTGCGCAGGCAGCCCGAGCGTCTGCTGCTTCGGGCAAGCATACTTCCCCAAGCTGTCGTCGTACGGGTGGATGAAGAAAGCGCCGCCGCACCTGATCTGCTTCACCGCGCCCTCAACGCCGCCCTTTGTCAGACCCTCGGCGAAAATCTCCTCGAAGATGCTCCCCAGGCCTGCGCTCTCCACTGGCATCGGCGCGAAGCCCTCGAAGCGGTCGCGGTTGACCACGAAGAACCCGTGGTTGATGGTCGTGGCGTTTCCCACCTTGCAGACGCCCTTCTTGGAGGCTCGCGTGTGCGTGCACATGTCCGGCGGCTGCAGCACCACCGCCATCGGGTCCTGCTGGAACAGCTTGGCCGCCACCTCGACCAACCCGGTCTGGTTCTCGCGGTACAGGAAGGTCGTCGAGTCCACGAAGATGCACATGTCGACCTCAGAGTCCGCGTCCGCACACAACTCCAGGAAGTTCAGCATGCCCAGGAGCCGCGCAGCGTTGGCCTTCTCGTCGAGCTTCGAGACGTTGGTGGGCGGATCCAGGCCTGCTTGGAGAAAACCTCATTCGAAATCCCTGAAAGCGTAAGTAAACATCAAAAAAACGCGTCCCTCCCCTCTCCTCCCTCATCCTGGCCACCAGCCCAGCTCGCAGAAGTCCACCAGCCCTCTGAGGGTGAGCGGCTTAAGGAGCTAGTTCTGCTAACACCTTGCTTCCCCTTCGGGGAGAGCGTCCAAGGCGGCCCCAGGCGGCTCCAAGAGGGCCCCAAGATGGTCTCCGAGATCGCCGAAGATAGCCCAAGATGCTTCAAGATAGCTTCCAACAGGCCCCCAAGAGACCTCAAGACCGCTTCACGATGGCTCCAAGTGCCATCCGAACATCCAAAGGAAGCCTCCAAGAGGTCAAAACCCTGCAAAGCCCGAGTGCTTTTCCATGTGTGTCTTGCCTGATCACCCCTTCACTTCCGCTGAGCTCTTGAGGCCTCAGGATGGCCCCAAGATGACCAAGAGAGCCCCAAGAGGGGCCCGAGAGGGGCCCAAGACGGCCCCAGGAGAGCCAAGGAGCGCCTCAAGAGCGCCCCCTGGAGGGCCCCCCAGATACTGTTTCGAGGGCCCCGACGGGGGGACGCAAACAAGCGCCTCACCCTCTTCTGATCGTTGGCCTCCAAGATGGCCCCAAAAGGGCTCCCAAGGCCCACACACACACACACACACACACTTCCGGGCGTCCTCAGCCGGGAGCAACTCTGAAGGGGCCCAAGGACACACAAACAAATACACACAAATAAAAATATGCTCCATATTTTCCCAGATTTTCGGGGTTTCTGTCTTCCCCCCCCCCTCCCCATATTTTCCCACATTTTCTGGGGAATCGAGGACTCGTTGTGTCTGTGTGCTTCTTTTCCTCCTGAAACCCCACGGCGTCCACCCACGCGCGCCCAGGTCGCGAGCGGGCAAGACAGCCGCCGGCGCGCAAGCACCCGAAGGAAAAAAGCAGGAAGAGCCCGGCCCCCCACGGGGCAGCGGCGGGCGGGCGGCGGGCGGAGGGGGGGGCAGCGGACATCGGCGTGGAGCGCGCCAGGGCACACACACACACACACACACACACACTTGAAGGGGCCCCAGGACACACAAAGAAATACACACAAAGGAGAAGATGCCCCCTGTTTTCCCATAGTTTCTGGGTTTCCGTCTGCCCCACCACTTCCCATATTTTCCCATATTTTCTGGGGAATCGAGGATGAATTGTGTCTGTGCGTTTTTCCCCTCCTGAACACTCTTGGCGTCGCGGCCCCGCGCGGAGCGACAGGGCGCAGAGAGGTCGAAGATGCGGCCGCGCACGCGCGCCTGGAGGCCGAGCCCTCGAGCCGCTCGGGACAAGCAGCAGCACACACACAACTTTAGGAATGCGTCGCGGCCTCGCGCGCAGCGCCGAAGCGCAGAAAGTCTAAAACAGCAAATCGAGCCGCTCGGGACAAGCAGCAGCACACACACAACTTTAGGAATGCGTCGCGGCCTCGCGCGCGGCGCCGAGGCGCAGAAAGTCTAACACAGCAAATGCGCGCGCGCGCGCGTCTAACCGCCCGAGCCCTCGATGAACCCTTGAGGCCACGCAGCAGCCGGCCGCCACAACCGTCCGGGCGTGGATGGCGGGAGGGACGGCACGGTGGATAGACGAGCTACGGTGGGTGGAGGGTGACGTAAGCCAACCAGGACTCTGCGGCGAGGGGGGGGGGGCGAGATAGCAGAGTGGACGACAAGGAGACCAAGGACCGACCCGGCAGTAGGCGTAGCGACGAGCCGCAGGAAGTCGCAGGCCGAAGGGCCGCGAAAGCCGGCGGAGCCGAGTGACGCACCGGAAACGGCGGCGGCCAAGAAGGCAGCCCCAAAGGGGAGCAGCCAGCGCAGGCCCCCCTGCGAGGAGGGGCCTGGGGAGGGCAGGCCGACGACGGCCAGCAGCAGGGGAACGGGACGGGCAAGGCGGAGTGGGGCACGAGAGCGCGGGGTGCCAGACCGCGAGATACACGACACACGCACATGTATACATACATACATAAATACATACGTACATGCATGCATACATACAGACAGACAGACAGACAGACATACATCCATACATACATACATACCGATCTACCTACCTACCGACCGACCTACCTACATACATATATACATACAGGCAAACGTACATACATACATACATACATACATACATACATACATGCATGCATGCATACATACATACATACATACATACATGATTACTACACACAAATCTACATACATACATACATACATACATACATACATAAGTACATGCATGCATACGTACATTCATGCATACGTGTACAAACCTATATACATATATACATACAGACCAGCGGGCAAACAGACATATACATGTACATGCATACACACATGCATACGTATATGCATACATAGAGGTGTATGTGTGTATAGATGTTTGTATATATATGTATAAACGAGATACATATATACATACATACATATATACATACATGCATACGTGCATACATATATACATATATACATGCATACATGCTTAACCACAAACATTCATGTAGACATACAGACAGACAGACAGGTATACGTACATACCGACCTGAGTACCTACATACGTACATAACTGTTACATGCATACATACATACATGCATACATACATGCATATATGGATATTGAAAGATGCATACATGCATACATGCGTGCGTACATACATACATACGTACATGCATGCCTATACAAACATACATACATACAAACATACATTCACATGCATACATACATACATACTGGCCGACATACCTACATACATACATGCATACACACATATACTGATACATACGTGAATACACACGTGCATGCATATATACACACAAACGTACACACATACAGACAGACAGCCATACATACATACACACATACATGCAAAGATACATACAAACGTACATACATCTATGAATGCATACATACACACTACATACATTCATTCATTCATACATACGAACATACATTACATACATGCATGCCTACACACATGCACACACGTTCATACATACATACAAATCAACATACCTACATGCCTGCAGACACACCGACATACCTACCTACATAAATACATAAATGTTACATACATACATACATGCAAACATGCATACACATATATATATGTGCATCCATACATACATGCATACGTACATACATACATACGTACATACAGACATATACCTATATATATATATGCAAACATGCATACACACATACACACATATATACGTACAGACAGACAGACATTGTATACATAGATGCATGCATACATACATACATACATATATATATGCATACATACATACTACATTCATACATACATACATATATAAATGCATAGAAACATATTACGTACATGCATATATATATGTGCTAACGTACATACAAACAAACGTACGTACATACATACAAACACATAAGTATACACACAGACAGACAGACAGGCAGACAGACAGACATGCATGCATACATGCATACATACATAAGAACAGATATACATATATGCAAACATACACACTACATACATGCATTCATTTATATACACATACATACATCACATACATGCATACGTACATACATACGTACGTACATACGTACGTACGTGTATTTATATACATACATACATACGTGTGGCGATCGCGGCCTCGCGCGCAGCGTCGAGGCGTCGTGCGAGCGCGGCCTGGCCCCCAGGGGCACACACACAACACATGCACAGCAGCCAGATGCTTTAGTCATGGCTCCCCGAAGGCAAAGTACAATCGGGCACGCCGCCAGAACTACGGCCGCGCCGGCACGTCTGGACACGAGGCGGCCGAGGGGGCCGCCGCCCAGACTGGCGGCCCAGGGCCTCTAAGATGACCCTAAGCCCCCTCCACCCCCCCTCCAACCCAAATGTCTACCCCTTCCTCCAGACCCCCTCCAGGCCCCCCTCCCAAAGTTCCGGAAGAGCTCCAGACAAGCTGCTAGAGATCTCTGAGTCCGCGCCAACTCCTCCTCCTCCTTCTCCTCCTCCTCCTCCTCCTCCTCCTCCTCCTCCTCTTCCTCCTCCTCCTCCTCCTCCTCCTCCTCCATTCCTTTTCCTTATAAATAACTTCTCCCTGTCGCACCCCGAGGTCAGCTCTTAGCGCGGTCTGGGCGTTTCGCCTGAGACTTCCTCACTACTTATGACTCTGAAATTTAAAAATGGCAACAGTCTCACAGAAGGAGGGCGGGTCGTTTTCAAAATACGGCTCTCGCCTTAGCACCGCGCACATTCGCTTTAGAAATTGAAAAGTTTCACACATTGAGGGCGGCTCCTTTTTTTAAATGTGGCTCTCGCCTGAGCGCCGCGCACATTCGTGTCAAAAATGTGCGAGTTTCACGCATTGAGGGCGGCTCCTTTTCAAAATGTGGCTCTCGCCTTAGCGCCGCGCACATTCCTTTTAAAAGTGTACAAGAGTTTCGCGAACTGCGGGCGGGCCATTTTCAAAATGTGGCTCTCGCCCTAGCGCCGCGCACATTTGTTGGAACAAATCCTCCTCGTCCTCCGCATCCTCATCCTCCTCCTCCTCCTCCTCCTCTTCATCCTCCTCCTCATCCTCCTCTTCCTCCTCCATCGCCTCCTCCTCCTCCTCCTCCTCCTCCTCCTCCTCCTCCTCCTCATCCTCCTCCTCCTCCTCTTCCTCCTCCTCCTCCTCCTCCTCCTCCTCTCCCTCCTCCTCCTGACGATCGACGAATTCGAAGATCAGCTACCGTAGGTGGCTCTCAGAGTGATGATGCAAGGAGTGATGTCGTGGTTTCGCACAGTGTTCCGAAGTGCCAAGCGCTGGAGCTTCCGAACTGAACGATACCGCAGTCTCGAGAAAGGGTATATCACACGGTCGTGGGAGTGAGACGACGCCTTCACCGAGGAGCTCGAGGCTTGAGGCGCGCCCTTGCCGCCGTGCCGCTGCCGTCTTTGACCCACTCCGTCCTCCGCCTCCTCTTCCTCCTCCTGACGCGCCTCGCCAGTATAGTTTCAGGAGCTAGTTGAAATGGCCACTGGTGGCCCCTCCAGGTGGTTTCTTCTTCGGGCCCTCGCCCTTCCTGAGGGCCCTGACGGGGCTCCTGGCGGTCCGCCGGTGCCTGTTCCCTCGCGGCATGTTGCCTTGTTTGAGCGATGGCGAATCGGGGCTCCCGTCGTGGGGACCACGTGTGGCCTTTGGGGGGCTTCTTTGGAGCCTTTGGGAGGCTTCTTGAGGACATCTGGGAGGCCTCTTGGGGGCTTTCGGGGGGCCCCTTGGGGGCCTCTCGGGGGCCTCTGGGAGCCTCTTGGGGGCGCCTTTCGCCGTATTGGGGCGCTTTTGCGCCGTTTCGCCCCTTCGGAGGCCGTCTTGGGGGCCTCTCGCGGCCGCCTTGGGGCCGTCTTCTCTCGCGCAGGTCGCACAATTCGAAATTCGCCTTCGACTGCTGTCTTCGTCGGAGCTCTGTTCGACTCGGCCCGTCACCGCTTCGCCGCGCCGCCTCGCCCTCCTCCTCCTCCTCCTCCTCCTCCTCCTCCTCCTCCTCTCCCTCCTCCCCCTCCTCCTCCTCCTCCTCCTCCTCCTCCTCCTCCTCCTCCTCCTCCTCCCCCTCCTCCTCCTCCTCCACCTCCTCATCCCACATCTCTGCCATGTGTTTGGGTTTCCTCTTCAGCCGCTTCCTGCCTCCTCCGTTTGCTCTCCCTCCTTCTTCTCTTTCCAACGGTAACGGTTGCCCTTTTTTTGTTCCACTGCAGGCTGCTACACAATCCTGATTAGGGCGAGCACCCCTAGCGACTGCTTTTGGATGGGATGCTGGGGATACACGAAGCATCAAGGATTGACCCGTCACTCCCTGCGGGATCGCCTTGGCTCCGAGCACTGTGCGAAGCCAGCCGCAGCATCCTGCTGTTGAGCTGAAGGTCGCCGGCGCTGAAGAAGCGGGCCATCAGAGCGCTCAGCTTCGAGTAGTCCACGCTCTTCACCTGAACGCTTCCCGTGCTGCCCTGGGTTCGCCTGTAGCGCGACAGCAGGGGCTCCTGCGCGCTGGGCTGCTCGGCCCAAGGCGGTCGGTTGTCGATGACGGCCCCCTCCAAGATGCTCATGTTGCCACTGATCATGCGCATGTGGTGCTCCATCATGAGGTCAACTGGGGTCTCGTCGCCCGGCATGACCATCGTCGCCACCAGCGCCCTGGGCATCTGACGCGGCGCCTTTTTCGGCTTCAGCATGCTCATGCCTGCCGCCTGGCAGCACGTGACTGCCAGCACGAGGGAGCGCATCGCGGGCGCCATCATACGCGGAGCACCTAACGAAAGTTTAGTTAATCAGAAATGAAGACCTGTGTGAACACAGGGGGGCTGGCGGCGCGGAAGCAACCCAAGCGACACGTTCGGTCGGCACGCAATGCATTTGCGGTCCTGACCTGCACCTTCGTTTACCCCACGGCCCCCCGTGACGCAACCAGCACTCAGGGGCTTCACAAGCAACGGCTACTCCCCATTACGTCATACAGTGGGGGGAAGTCTGATTCGGGGGGGGTCTGACTTGAGCTGCCTTGGAGGGTTCCAGGGGGTCTGGGTAAAAGGCCGCCCTTTCACGGCTGCCTTGGGGGTGGTCTGAAACGGCCCGCCTGGCGCGCATCAGACCCCCCCCCCATGACGGAGTCGAGCGTACCCTTCGAGCCCCGGTGCCTCACGAGAGCCCTGAGCGTCGCACTGCCTCCACGAGGATCGGGCGTTGGCAGAACTGGATTTAGTGGAACCTGGTTTAGTGATTTGCACCTGGTCCCCTTACCCGGGGTCCTGGCTATACCCGAAAGGAAGGCCTGCGCGCGTGCAGGGCCCCACCCCCCCACGACGGCCGGCGGACGGTGGAGGCACCGAGACGGCCCGGCACCCGCCGGAGCCCCGCAGGGCGTCCCCCCAGGAGAGCGGCTGAGGCCACGGGCCGCAAAGGGGTCCTTCAGGGAGGGCCTCGCTGCGGCCCCAGGCGGGCGCGCGTCGATGAGACATCAGGACGCGAGGCTCGGGGCCGCTTCGGCCACGGGGAGCCCTCGCCGGGCCTGGGGGCCGTCAACGAAGCGCCTCGATATGAGAATCTGGTCCCGGGGCAAGGTTCGGGACTTCCAGGGCCCCCGCATTGAACCAAGCAGGACGTCGCAGGTACGGGGTGAGTTCGGAAATCCGCTGACCCCCGCCGGCTGGGGATGAAAAAGCGTGCGAGACATTCGAGCATCCCCCTCCCCACTTGCCCCTTTCGCCTGTCCCTGGGGTCCCTTGGAGCCTCCGAATCCACTCTCCGTGGCCGCCAAGATGTCCAAGATGCCTTCCAAGATGTCTCCAAGAAGGCCCCAACACGCCAAAGAGGCCTCAAAAACATCCGAGATGGCCCGAAGACGGCCCCAAGACGCCCCCAGAAGGCCCCAAACGAACGCCCAAGAGGGCCTTAAGAGACCAAAACCATGGATATCCCGCTGGACGTTTGAATGAATTTAGCGTTCTCGCGTTTTCGAGCTTCTGTCAGCCGAAGACGCACCAAGAGGCCCACAGACCAGCCCAAGAGGATCCAAGAGGCCCCCACGAGGGCCCAGACACAGCCCAAGAAGGCCCCAGGACGGCTCAAGAGGCCCCCCAAGACGGCAGAATGAACCCCGAAAAGAGGGGCCCAAGAGGGGCCCGAGAGGGGGAGACCGCAAGGGCCCAAGAGGGGCCCAAGAGGGGCCCTCGAGGTGTCAGCCCAGGGATCGATAATGGCACGCGCGGGCGGAGATCGAGCAACAAAAAACAAAAGCCGGCTAGAAACATCACATCGCCAGATGTCTAGTGGCAGATCCCATCCGCCGTAGATCTCTGAGGCGGAAGCACTTCCGCCCTGCTTGTTCGCATCATTCGGGATGCATATCCGACATAATCTTGAGTCGTTAAACTCGTGTAGTCCAAAACCTGGATAGCAGGGATGACCGAAGCGGCAGCGCAGTGCTCCGTCCGCTCAGGTTCTGACCAGCCTGCCTTGACATGAAACCTAAAGGAAAATAGAACTGCATGTGAACGCAGCCTGTGGTCTTCGGCTTGTCGCGCGGGCCCCGCGGAAGGCTGCATCAAGACCAGCAGAAGCTCGGACATGGGCAACTGTAATAAAGCACACAGTGGCAGGCATGCGGCTTCAGTTGCACTGCTGCCAGGCTAGCGGAAACGAGCTGGCCAAATAGAAGTCTAGCAGACCGCGCTCCTCTCCACGCGGGCCGGAACCTGGAAAAGACACGCGGGGCGCCCACAAAATGGCACCACGAGCTACCCATGACGATTATTGTCCGGGCATTTTTCGTGCAGAGGACGAGGGAGGAGGAGGAGGAGGAGGAGGAGGAGGAGGAAGAGGAGGAGGAGGAGGAGGAGGAGGAGGAGGAGGAGGAGGGGGAGGACGAGGACGGAGGATGGGGGAGGAAGGGGGGACGCTAGCGGCGCATGATACGAATTTGCCCTGATTCGCATCGGGCCCGCGGCTAGAGCGGAAGGGCTCGCACAGAGTGCGCGTGAAACGTCTTGATTCGCGCGGCCGAGGGGGGCGAGGAAGGAGAGGAGGAGGAGGAGGAGGAGGAGGAGGAGGAGGAGGAGGAGGAGGACCCCAACGGGCGGGTCGGGAAGGCGGGCCCAGGCGGCAAGGTCGAGCAGGCGGGTTGCTGAAGCGTGCGTCCTGCATGAATCGCGCGGAAGTCTCGCGCGATAGCGCGATTCCCAAATAAATCGCGCAAAAATCCACAGCGAGAGCGCGATTCCTGAACGTCGAGGGCGCGGCGCCTGAATAAATTGCGAGAACTTCCCACGCGAGAGCGCGATTGCTATATAAAGTGTAAGGAAGTCCCGCGCGAGTGCGCGATTTGGGAATACATTGCGAAGAGGTATCAGGCGGGAGCCCATTGTGTAGTTCGGGGGCCAACAACCCAATTGGGTGACACCTCGCTTTCCCCTGCATAAAAAATAAGAGCGCCGGGAGAAGCACGCGCATTAAAAACTATCCTGGCGAGGGGCCCAACCATCTGCAATTGGGGGTACCACATTATGAATACAGCTTTCGGTGGAGCTCCCTGTGGGGCCACGAAACGTGTGAGAGGTGTGTCGACATGGGGCGGGGCCACCATGCGAACCCTGCCCCTAGGGCTTTCGGTGGCGTTCCCTAGGGGGCCACGAAACGTATGAGGGGTGTGCCGAAATGGGGCGGGGCCGCCATGCGAACCCTGTCACTGGGGCCTTCGCTGGAGCTCTCCATGGGGCCACGAAACGTGTGAGAGGTGTGTCGACATGGCGCGGGGCCGCCATGCGAACCCTACCACTGGGGCCTTGGGTGGAGTTCCCTATGGGGCCGCGAAACGTGTGAGGGGTGTGCCGACATGGGGCGGGGAGACCAAACGAACCCTACCATTGAGGCCTTCGGTGGAGCTCCCTATAGAGCCACGAAACGTGCGAGGGGTCTGTCGAAATGGTGCGGGGCCGCCATCCGAACCCTGCCACTGGGGCCTTCGGCCACGAAACGTGTGAGGGGTGCGCCGAAATGGAGCGGGGCCGCCATGCGAACCCTGCCAGTGGGGCCTTCGGTGGGGCTGCCCATGGAGCCATAAAACGTGCGAGAGTGCGCCGGAATGGGGCGGGGCCGCCATGCGAATCCTGCCATGTGGGCCTTCGGTGGAGCTCCCTATGGGGCCACGAAACCTATGCGGGGTGTAACGAAATGGGGCGGGGCCGCCATGCGAACCCTGCCACTGGGGCCTGCGGTGAAATTCTGCACTGGACGCTAGGGAAGTGGGAGGAGGGAGGAGGGAAAGGAGGAGAGGAGAGAAAGAGGAGGAGGAGGAGGAGGAGGAGAACGCGGGGCGCCGTCTCTTCAAAGCGAGGACCCCACATCACAGGATGGTTGGGAAATACAATGGTTACCCAACAGGGGGGTCAACACTTGTTCTTTAGAAATGAAACTTCAACAACAGCAGCAACAACAACAGCAGCAACAACGACGACGACAACAGCAGCAACATCTATAACAACAACAACGACAACAACAACAACCACAACAACAACAACAACAACAACAACAACAACAACAATTACAACAACAACAACAACAACAACAACAACAACAACAACAACAACAACAACAACAACAACCACAATTACAACAACAACCATTCTAAGACTGTTCGCTATTACTTGCCCGTGTGTCATTCAAAACGAGTTCCCCACACCCTCGATACCCGCCCTTTCTGTCTTCGATACCACCTCGCTTGGGGGGAATATTTTTCTTTGCGGGGGGGGGCGGCGGGCTTAGACAGGCGGGCGAACCTGAACGGGCGGACAATCCTTCGTGGGCGTACATGTGCCCGCCATTGGAATGGGTGTGGGCCCTGCAAAAAAGGAGGAGAACGAGGGAGAATGGGAGGAAGGGAGGGGGAGGGACGAAGGAAGAGGGAAAACGCCAGGAGAGAAGGAGCGAAGAGGGGGGCGGTTGATTAGAGGCAGAGAGAGAGGGAGAGAGACAGACAGATAAGAGAGGTAGAGAGAGAGAAAACAAAAGGAGGGAGAGAGAGGGAGAGAGAGAGAGAGAACAAAAAAAAGGGGAGAGAGAGAGAGAGGGAGAGAGAGAGAGAGAAAACAAAAGAAAGAAAGAGGGAGGAGGCAGGAGAAGGGAGGGAGAAAGGAGGAGGGAGAGGAGAGAGAGGGGATAGGGCAGAGAGGCATGAGGATGAGGGAGGAGAGGAGGGGGAGGAGGGAGAGGGAGAGGGAGGAGGAGCAGGAAGGTAAGAGCGTGAACGTTCGAGGAAGTCCTAGGCGAAAGCGCCGTTCCTGAAGGAAACCTCGGGCGGGTGGGACATTCAAGCGGGATGCCTGAGTATGGCGAAAACGCGATTCCTAAGTAATTTGTGACGGCGTCCTTGGCGCAGCGTGTTTCCTGAGCGTCGAAAGCGCGATGTCTGAATATATTGCACGGAAGTCACAGGCGAGAGCGCAATTCCTGAATAACATGTGAAG